GGGGGGGGGGGAGGATATGATTTATTTTAATTACAAGCTGTGCAAGATGTCATCAGTTCCGGGGCTAACTTTATTTTTGAGGGTTTTTCGTAAGTGTTTTAAGGTTGTGACTAGATTAAAAATATTAAAGGGATAGTTCGCCCAAAAATGAAAATTCTGTCATTAATTACTCACCCTCATGTCGTTTCAAACCCGTAAGGCCTTCGTGCATCTTCAAAACACAAATTAAGATATTTTTGATGAAATCCGAGAGCTTTCTGTCACTGCATAGACAGCAACGGAACTGAAATGTTCAAAGCCCAGAAAGGTAGTAAGGACATCGTTAAAATAGTCCATGTGACATCAGTGGTTCAACCGTAATTTTATGATGCTACGAGAATACTTTTTGTGTGCAAAGAAAACTAAAATAACAACTTCATTCAACAATTTCTTCTCTTCGGGTCAGTCACGAGAGTACCACGACGCATGCGTGTGGTGCTGCTGACGCAGGAGCTGACGCTCTGACATAGAAGTAGAGGAATGCACACGCATGCGTCGTGGTACTGTCGTGAACGCATGGCGAAGACTGACACGGAAGAGGAGAAATTGTTGAAAAAAGTCGTAATATAGGTTTTGTTTTCTTTCTTTTAGAAAAGATGCATTAAATTGATCAAACTGAAGTCTGGAGTAATGGCTGCTAAAAATTCAGCTTTGCATCACTGGAATAAATTACGTTTTAAAATATATTCAAATAGAAATGGTTCCTTTAAATTGTAATAATATTTTACAATATTGCTATTTTTACTGTATTTTTGATCATATAAATGCAACCTTAGTAAGCATAAGACTTTTTTTCAAAAACATTTTAAAAAATCTTTGAACACTGGTTTATATGAATATATATTTCCATTTATTGGAATATAAATGTGTATATTTAGGTTAATCACAGGAACTTTCCATTTGTGCGACTTTTTTTTTAAACATTTATCTGTAAGCAAAATGCTCCTAGAAAAATAAATACATAAAATCCTAGATAAATATTCATACCTTTTGTGTCTTGGATCTATGAACTGGTTCTAATGGTATTGTCCTTGTGTACTATCTCTCAGGGCTTACGTCTCGCTTTTTATGCGGCACTTGTGTGAGCCTGGTGCAGATGGTTCTGAAAGCTTTGCTGATGGCGTTCCCCGGGAGGGACTGTCACGACAACACGTCCTTACTCGTATCGGTGTGATGTCGTTGATCAGAAAGAAGGTAAATGAGTAATGCGTTATTGTAAATAACATGCAGTACAAAAGCCAAGGAGTTTACAAACAGATTATATGAAATTTGCAAGATGCATGAATAGCAAAATCCATTTTGCACAGATGTCTAATTGTTGGTGGTTGGATAACTTCCTTTTTCAGGTACAAGAGTTTGAGCATGTGAACGGTCAGTGGTCAATGCCCTGGATGATGGAGCTGAACGAGAATAAAACTGCATCCACTGCCGGCAGTCAGCCCGACTCCCCCAGCAAGACACCCTCTACTGGCACTCCAGCGGATACTCAGCCAAACACACCTGCTCCAGGTGCCACATATGCCACAACCTCTCTTATTGTAAGTTGATTACTGTTAAAATAAGCTGAACTATTAAACCATGCCTATTTGTTCTACAGATGGTGTTTCTAAAGCAGAAGATGGTGGAAAAGATGGCGATAAAGAAAAGGTGAAAAATGGAGACGGTGAGAAGGACACAAGTGAGAATAAAGACAATGAAGTGAGTATCAGCTTATACAACAAAATGTCTTGATCTCTGTTTAAAGCCCAATATACTCATTGTGAAGTTTTTTTTCGTTCTTCACTTTGGGGTAAATATAAGTTCGAAATCTAAGCAGTGATGACTTTTACTGAACATTCTGACTCCGTTTACACTGCTGAGATTGACCTTAGATGAATATGTAAGTGTGCTGCACGCTTTGCTCTCACTAATGAAATAAATGCACAACAAAAATTACGGTGAGAAAACAGCAGTTAAGAAAGCATCAATGAAGATGTTTGCAGCAGATCTGCAATTCTGCCCTCCAGTCAAGTCACATTATGTTTATTTATATAGCACTTTACGCAATAGATTGCTTTAAAGGTCACATATTATACACCTTTCTGGAGTTTTATTTTAGGTTTTGATGTCCTTAAGAATATATTTGCGGTATAAGTACCAAAAACCATCTAAATATATTTTTGCAGCTCCTTTCTCAGGAGCTCCTTTGAACAGGTCGATTTTGGTCTGTCTAATTAATATTCATGAGCCTCTCTTCTGATTGGCCTGTTGTTTTCTGAGTGACACACGACCAGGCCAACCACAGGTAACTAGGGTCATGTATGCTGTAGCCTGCTATGGCAAATAGAAAAATAGAAACACCTGTAATGATGGCCACTGCTGAGGGAAATGTTTTCCGGCCTTACATGTTTGAGCTGGACTCCGAATTGGCGACAACAGGCGACAACCAACCACCTCATCAAATGCGCTTACAACAGGATGTTTCAGAATGGTAATTAATTTTTTTTTTTCGAAAACCGAATGCAATAATCTACGTTACTATTGCTTTCCTACTGATACAACACGTTAGCATCATGTTAGCGTTGCAATAACCGTTTACAAACTATAATTTCAGATTATGCTGGCTCCATAATGTAACATCAAATGTGTGAGAAGTTTACTTACGGGTTGCGGACATTACATAATGCCTGTTATATTACAGTACATAAAATTTCACTTACCACATAAACAGAGTAAGGAGAGATGACTGAGGACGATGGCAAATTGCAGATCCTGAGCAACTCTGACAAACATCTAATCTTGTAAAATGTGTGGTAAGTACTGCCGCTCCATAGTATAAACAAAGTACGTGCGATCGCGAATCTCGAAAGTGAAAATGAAACTAAAATCGTGCATTCAAAAGCAGTTTCAATGCCAGGCATAATAGCGGCTCCCTGCCTGATGCCCGCAATTTAAACAGTATAATTACACGATGATTTAACTGCGAGAGAAAATATTGAAATCTATATTTTCCTCTCATCTCGTATTTATTAAGGTTAGGGGTTCCGTAGTACATGTCATTTTCTTTCCGAACACGGTATTGGGATGCGGCCGGATTGCGGGGGATATGAGGGGAATTTTGGGGGGATCACAATGCCGGCTCAATATCGTGAAGTTTATCAACCCAACCCTAGTTCGGAAGCCTGTGCAATGATGTAGTTTCCTGACATCCATGACTGAACAGCGTTTTCTTGACATGTTTCCGTGATGTTGTTGCTCAGCAATGGCATGGACGCGATGTTGTCTGGGGGTTTGGCAAAAGGAGGGTGAGACGATGGGCAGTGCTCGGGGTGGTGACTGAAAGGCGACGGCCGGAGACAACCAAACACCTTCTCAAACGCGCTTACAACAGAATGTTTCAGAATGGTAATTATAATTTTTTTCTTCCAAAAACTGAATGCAGTAATCTCTACGTAACTATTGCTTTCCTACTGATACAACACGTTAGCATCATGTTAGCGTTGCAATAACCGTTTACAAACTATAATTTCAGATTATGCTGGCTCCATAATGTAACATCAAATGTGTGAGAAGTTTACTTACGGGTTGCGGACATTACATAATGCCTGTTATATTACAGTACATAAAATTTCACTTACCACATAAACAGAGTAAGGAGAGATGACTGAGGACGATGGCAAATTGCAGATCCTGAGCAACTCTGACAAACATCTAATCTTGTAAAATGTGTGGTAAGTACTGCCGCTCCATAGTATAAACAAAGTACGTGCGATCGCGAATCTCGAAAGTGAAAATGAAACTAAAATCGTGCATTCAAAAGCAGTTTCAATGCCAGGCATAATAGCGGCTCCCTGCCTGATGCCCGCAATTTAAACAGTATAATTACACGATGATTTAACTGCGAGAGAAAATATTGAAATCTATATTTTCCTCTCATCTCGTATTTATTAAGGTTAGGGGTTCCGTAGTACATGTCATTTTCTTTCCGAACACGGTATTGGGATGCGGCTGGATTGCGGGGGATATGAGGGGAATTTTGGGGGGATCACAATGCCGGCTCAATATCGTGAAGTTTATCAACCCAACCCTAGTTCGGAAGCCTGTGCAATGATGTAGTTTCCTGACATCCATGACTGAACAGCGTTTTCTTGACATGTTTCCGTGATGTTGTTGCTCAGCAATGGCATGGACGCGATGTTGTCTGGGGGTTTGGCAAAAGGAGGGTGAGACGATGGGCAGTGCTCGGGGTGGTGACTGAAAGTCACTGTGTAGTTCTGACGTCACCTTTTTACGAAAGTCACAACTGCTCGTGAAAATGCACAGCTACTTTATGCAGGCTGTGTGCATTTGTCTGTGGATTGACTGTTTTGAAACTTAGACCATGTCAGTTTTGACAATATGGGACCTTTAAAGGGGATCAATTATGTACCTATTATGTAATAAACATGGACCAATGGTAGTTTGAAGGTGTTTACCTGGTGGAGTGAATTTTTCTGGAAAGTTCACTTCATAAAGCTTTTTCAAACTCCTGAAACAAACTTCATTTTGGCCTGATTTTGTTTGTAATGACATCAGACCAGTTCATTCTTTGATTTTGTTTGAAGTATATTGGTGCCTTAATTTTCAGTGTTTCAACCATGTGAGGTTAGATGATTTTGGTTGTTAAGCTATTTCTATTTCTTCTTATCAATAGGTCATTGCCATCCCTGATGAAGATGACGACGCTTCTTCTGCTTCTGAAGACAAAGGCAAAGACGGCGAAGAGAAAGACAAAATGCCTGAAACCTCTTCAGACGGAGACAAGGCTGATGGGAAGCAAGATGAGAAAGAGGAAGAGAAAGCGAAGTCTGGAGACGCTGATGAGAAGATCAGCGACAGCAAGCCCAAAGGATCTGAGGCTGAGAAGGAAACCGACACCAAAGGTGAATAAAAATGCCATTTACAACCCACTTGACCCTGGTAATATGGGTTGAATGGGGTTCAGGGTTGAACGGGATCAAAAATATATTTTGTCTAAACATGGGGTGGCTAAATTGTTCATATGTTTTATTTTCAGGAGAAAAGAAGGATGATGATCCTGAGAAGATGGACACTACCCCTGTTACAGATGAGAAGAAAGGTCTGTACTACCTGACTGGCTTTGACATGATTACGTAGTTTCTCGCCTACCCACTTCACTAACTTGTGTCGTTCATTTTGCTCCAGGTCAGAAGGACGAGAAGGATTCTGGTAAGACAGAGGAAGCTGGAAAACTGCAGAATGGCGAGAGTGCCAAAGACGGCACAGCAGGAGCAGCAACAGGAGCAGCAACAGCAGCAGCAGCTGAAGAGAGGAAGAAAGCCAAAACACGGTTCATGTTCAACATCGCAGATGGAGGATTTACTGGTAAGATCTTCTGTTCAGAGTGCAACGTTTCCCCTGCCATTATTTTAGGGGGGCGGCCCGCCACCCCAACGGCACCCCCCGCCCCCCTTGAAGGTCAAGTTAATTTGATTTAATTATATTTTCTCTATAGCGCCAGATCACAACAGAAGTCCTTTAAAGTTACCTTTCTTATAGAACATGTCTATACATTGTTCTTTCATTAAGCAAACTAAATAGCCTTATGTTATTTATCTTATTTACACAACGGCATGTCATTTCACTCTCTGCATCACGCACAGCGGAGTTCCGCCCGATGCGCGCGCTCACGCACACGCAAACACACATACACAAGTGAGCCCACTCCCCACTAGACAGTACATCCATCTAGTTGCAAATTGTAATCCAAGAGATTGTGTACGGTCTTTTGGTCCAATAAGTAATATCTCTGTGTTATTCGAATTTAATAGGAGAAAATTATTGGTCATCCAATCTTTTACATTTTTAACACATTCTGTTAGCTTAGATAATTTAGAAGTTTCATCTGGTCTTGTTGACATATATAGTTGAGTATCATCAGCATAACAGTGGAAACTAATCCCGTATTTTTTAATAATCTTCATAGAGATAATTTTTTTGCAGGAAGGAGTACAATTGAGCAGACACAACTTTTCTAAAATTTTAGACATAAAATGAAGATTTGAGATGGGTCTGTAATTTACCAGTTCACTAGGATCTAGTTGTGGTTTCTTAATAAGAGGCTTAATAACCGCCAGCTTGAATGGTTTTGGGACGTGACCCAAAGACAATGACGAGTTAATAATATTGAGAAGCGGTTCTTCTGCTACAGGTAACAAATCTTTCAGTAATTTAGTGGGTACAGGATCTAACAGGCATGTTGTTGGTTTAGATGCAGTGATACGTTTATTTAGCTCTTCCTGTCCTATAGTTGTAAAGCACTGCCGTTTATCTTTTGGTGAATGAATGATGAATGAAGCTGAAGTATTATACGCTGTAGAATAATGTGTTTTTCGAACAACCTAGTATGAGAGCCCGTTCTAGTACACCCCCAAAACAAAATCAAGACTTTGTAAAAGAGCATAATAGGACCCCTTTAAGTAATTTTTTTCAACCCCCCTTAATTTTTACTTTTTTAAAAATACCTTCTGTTTTTTTCCTAGATGTTTTACTAATACGCAGCACTTTGAGCTGCGTTTTGTTTAAAATTTATTTTGAACTATTTATTTTAATTTCATTTAATCTATTTTTAAATATTTATTTAAAACTTTTTTCAACTAACTATTTACTAAAAACAGGCAATATGGTGTCTAAAATGCAAGTCTCTTAATTAACTTCTTGTTTATTGAACTGTTGTAAAAAAAAATAAATACTAGTCTATCTACTAGACTTGAAATAAATGACCTTTTCCATGACATTCTAATTTATTGAGATGCACCTGTATATCGCACACCCTGTACCACTGTCTTTTTGGCTAATTTGTGCAAAACCTCTTGCTAAACTGTCAAAGCTTCATTTTAACCACCAATGCAACAATGCGAGTATTTCGCTTACCTCTACATGCTTGCGAAGGGTTGATGTCAAGATTTTATAAGCTGCTAGTATGGTCTCCCTAGGCAAACACTGCTTACACGTGTAATAGAGCTTAAATATGGCCAGGGGTTCACTTAATTTCCTTCGAGTTCAACTTCAGCAGAATACGACGGGGTTTCGTTTTCAGCTGGGTCTGCACCACTAACGCCTGTCTTGTCCGTCTGCATCTTTTTTGTGATTTTAGCGCCAGTTTGTTCTCCTGCCCATTATTTACTGCAGTAGTTTCCAGGGAGCTAATTTTTATTTTTATTTTTTACTCCATAATGTGTTTAAAATGTAGCGAAGTACAATACTTCAAACTAAATATACTTAATTAAAAGTAAAATTACAGATTTTAAAAATTACTTTAAAAATGAGAAGTACTCAAAAAAGCTACTCAATTACAGTAACACGAGAATGTAATTCGTTACTTTCCACCTCTGTCTGTGAGTCAGAGCAGCCGGCATTGTAGTCTACTCTTCCAGGATGAGGAAACAGTCCTCCATAAAATGAACTGCACACAAATTAATATTTGCATTGAACTGTTCTGGAACAGTGTTGCAAATAAAATTTAACCACTGATTTCTAGTCGTGTCCTCTTTTGGAAGGCCAAATGTAATTCGTTACTTTCCACCTCTGTCTGTGAGTCAGAGCAGCCGGCATTGTAGTCTACTCTTCCAGGATGAGGAAACAGTCCTCCATAAAATGAACTGCACACAAATTAATATTTGCATTGAACTGTTCTGGAACAGTGTTGCAAATAAAATTTAACCACTGATTTCTAGTCGTGTCCTCTTTTGGAAGGCCAAACAAAGTAGTTTCGCTTTCACAACGAAACACACGGCGGGCTAGAGTGAGCGGAGGCCGGCGGCTAGAGTGAGGAACGGCCGGTGGGCTTGACAACGGCGCAACCAGCGTATTTGATGAAGGAGCGGCCGACGGGCTTGCGGCAACCACATGTGACGACCCGGGCTGGACTTCGTCCATGGTGAAAGCCGATCCGGTGATCTACAGCGCGAAGTTGATGTATTCCCTCAGCGACCAGCACAGATCAGCTCTAGGCATGACGAAGCGGATATCGTCCTCTTTTGGAAGGCCAAACAAAGTAGTTTCGCTTTCACAACGAAACACACAGCGCCTTCACGACATGGCGGCGGCAACAAAACTACAGTGAGAATAAAAGTTACGCCGCCTTTCTTTGCGTGAACATTTGGGCGACGTTATGCAAATCTTCCCACATCGTGACATAGATATGTGGGGGCGTGTTAGAATGAGTCGTTTTAGGTAGGCGTGGCTGACTCTTAACTTTTATAAAGAATATCTCTTTGGATTTGAGACTTTAGTCTTTGCACCTTTACAGATCTTCATGCACCAAGAGCTTGTAACACTCCAAAGAGAAAGGAAAAATTGAAATCGCATCATATGACACCTTTACTACTTATCAGAATTTTCTTTTATACATTTTATGGTGTTTGGTTGTTTTGCTTCTTGAAGAATGATTTTATTGTTAGTAGTAAATAAGTGTAAAAAGGCAAAATTATAACAATTATTTGCCAAAATGCCATAAGTTTAAGCATTTCTACTAAATTCTTTTTTTTTTTTTTGCAGAATTACACTCCCTGTGGCAGAATGAGGAGCGAGCCGCTACAGTGACCAAGAAGACCAATGAGATCTGGCATCGTCGCCATGACTACTGGCTACTCTCTGGCATCATACAGTATCCTTAAAAAAAAAAAAGCAGCCTTCTGCATACATGTATTGTACACATGTGAGTGTCTTTCAGATGTGTTCAATGACAAGCAAAGCATGAAATGTACCTCAACTCACTGTCTCAGACATGGTTATGCTCGTTGGCAAGATATTCAGAATGACGTCAGGTTCGCCATTCTTAACGAACCCTTTAAGGGAGAGATGAACAGAGGAAACTTCCTGGAGATCAAGAACAAGTTTCTGGCCAGGAGATTCAAGGTATTATGAAAAGAATCAAATTTTTCTTGTATAAATGTCATGACATTAGAGTTAGTAACCGTTTTTGTGTGTCTCCTGTAGCTACTTGAGCAGGCTCTGGTGATTGAAGAACAGCTGCGCAGGGCAGCGTATCTGAACATGACAGAAGACCACTCTCACCCCTCCATGGCTCTCAACACACGCTTCAGTGAAGTGGAGTGTCTGGCAGAGTCCCACCAGCACCTGAGCAAAGAATCCATGTCCGGAAACAAACCTGCCAACGCCGTCCTACATAAAGGTACATCATCTGACATCATGTTATTCTAACTTTTTAACTCCTGAATTTGGCTCATCATAGAAGTTGACACTCACTACTTTTTTGTACGTGTTTCTGATAGTACTGAAACAGCTAGAAGAGTTGCTCAGTGACATGAAAGCAGATGTCACTCGTCTCCCGGCGACCATCGCCAGGATACCGCCGGTTGCTGTGAGGCTGCAGATGTCTGAAAGGAACATTCTCAGCCGTTTGGCCAGCAGAGGACCAGATACACAATCTCAGCAGGTACACAATCACCTACCTGTGCTGGTATGGTTTATGCTTGGACTATATCTGATGTGTTTTTATAGTCTACAGTAGGGATATGCCGGTATCAAATTCTCATGTTGCGATTAATTGCTAATGCTTTTATCACGGTGTACGGTATTATCATGATATTGAAATTTAGTCATAAATTGCTGTCATAATACAGTATAACAGGTTTAATAACTTTTTTCTTATAACAAAAATAACTGAACATTTAAATCCAATAAAGCAATACAGAAAAATGTATCAAGTGAAAAGTTTTACACAGATTGAAGTGCAAAAGAACTATAAAGACCAATAGGTATCACTTTACAATAAGACCTCATTAGTTAACCTTAGTTAATGCATTAACATTCACAATGAGCAATAGCTACATTTGCTACAGAAGTTATTCATCTTTGTTAAAAAAATAAAAGTCTTTGTTCATGTTAGCTCATTAAATAACACAGTTGCAACTTTCGATTTTAACAACGTGTTATTAAATATTGTAATTACCTAAGCAGGGCTCGACAGTGTGACCATTTCAGTCGCATTTGTGACTGAAAACTACTGCGTGCGACTGAAATTTTTTTTTAGGAGCACCATGCGACTGACCCGATCATCGTCATACTTGTGATTGTGATCGCTGAGGGGAGCTTCAAAGGTTTCTACGTGTTTTTGCAGCGTTGAGTAATGTATCACAGACATATCTCACGAATCCTTTCATAAGCAAAGCGTAGACAGGGTGTAAATAAGAGATTCATTGCGCAGTGTAGAGAGCTTCGTTGATTATAAATGTGAGCTCGCGATGAACTAAGATGAGTGACAGCTTTGAATGATTTTTAAGGGAGTTTGTACATGTGATAACTGATTTAATACAACAGTTCAATAAACAAGAAGTTAATATTAAGTGACTTACATTGTCTGACTATAACGCTATTGTCTGATTTTGCTCTATTTCGTCGTCGAAAATAGTTTAAAACAAAGACACAGCTCAGCCGCTGCGCATCTCCATTCAAACACAGCGGTGTTTCGTTTATGAATGAACAGATTTTTTTAAACAAATCTAGTGAGTCAGTGATTCATGATTACCCATTCATAAATACAGTCACTTGATTCATTCTTGAATGAATCAGCCTTTCGAAAGAATCAGTTGAATGAATGATTCAGTGATAAAAATCAGTGACTTACTGCCACCTGCTGGCAGTTTTAGTTACATTTTTAAAGTATCTTTTCAGTTATTTAAATCATTTAATATTTCTATATTCAAAATTTTATATTCAAAACATTAATATCATCATGGATTTATGGATTTAATTGCACTCATTACACTTCTGAACCTCATTAAATGTCTCAAAGTACATCAAGTCACTTTTGTGTTCTTCTGTGCCACCTCTACAAATTAATTTAGTTAATATTGATTTCATTTGATTTTTAACTTGTTTCTTATTCTACTCTTATTGTCGTTTTAATTACAATTTTTAAAAAGTTTATAAAATATAATTTTTTTAAAGAATTTGACAAAAGATGACATACTTTACAGTCTAGAGGAGTCATAATTATAAGTTAGAGGAGTCAAATATTACCTCGTAATGGTAAGGCTACTTTTTGATAACATTTTGGATTATTGATTAGAAGGTGCTCCTAAAATTTTGAATGTGCTCCTAAAAAGAAAAGTAAGCGTCGAGCCCTGCTAAGATTAATGAATGTTCAGAAGAATTTTTCATTGGCAGTTTGTTAACTAATGAATTAACTAATGTTAAAGGCAGAGTAAGTGATTTCTGGTAGCCAATGTTGATATTTGAATCACCAAAACAAACACGCCCCTACCCCAAAAGGGTGTCGCCCCTATTTTGATAGCTCCGCCCCACATATACATACGCAACCCAGGCAACGATTAGTTCTGTTAAACAAAGCAAAACCAATGTTACACCGTGTCTACATCGGACGTGAGCGGCGCGCCGCAACAAATCCCAGACAGAAAACTGCTGCCGGGTTCTATTTATGACGTGCTGACACAAATTTCAAATGGTTTTCAACGGTCGTTTGATCGCGTCCAGTGTAGGTAGACTTTAACTGTTGTAGACACGGTGTTACTCACCTATTGAGAAGAAACAAAGCAACCTCGGCGTCCGATCGCAGACCTCCGCTCCTTGAGTTCTCTCCAGCTCTGGAAAGCTGATCCGATATTTACACGGGTCCTACTTCTTGCCTTATCTTTCCGCAGACGTTTTCCTCTTTTGTTTTTTATCTGCCATCTCTATCTTTCTGTCTCTCGGCTCGGCTAATGTCCGTCCCATGCACTGAACGCGCTCTCCTCCACATCACGAGTAGACACGCCCCTTATTGCTGATTGGCTACAAGTTTGTTTTGCGATTCGGCCCGAATCAGTTTTCTAAAGTGTTTTTAAAAAATCACATACCCTGCCTTTAACTAATGAAGCCCTAATGTAAAGTGTGACCGAACAATAAAGAATCAAAACACTTTCAAACAATATCTAGGGCATGTTGTAGTCCAGATTAAAATGTAAAAAAAGATTGAAAATAAATAGCCTATTAAGTCTAAATATTTAAGTATTTGGCGCTGTGATGAACATCATAGCAAATACACAAATCTGAATGGCTGTTTAAATCATTTAAACACGATTCAGAAACAAAGTAGTGCAGCTGCTTTGTTTACAGGGTTTCCGGGGTAACGGCTGCATTTAAATGATTTATTATTATTATTATTATTTCTGCAGTTTAGCGCCATCTGCTGTCAGAGAGGGAAAGTGCGCTTTCATTCAGAGCGTCTCTCGCATGTTCAGCATGTGCTTCTTGTCCGCGCTTGTTTACATCAGAGTGCACACGCGTCTTTCACGCAGCATACAGCGGTGTTGTGCATTGTGACCAGTTGATGGGAAAAGTATTCTTAAAATGCATTCTAAATTCTAAATAATTTGTAATATATAATTATTCACGGTATTTAGAAGTGCCCACGATAACAACATCGTGCATATTCATTACCGTGATATATCGCATTACCGAATACTGGCACAAGTCTAGTCTACAGTAGTATTTTGAAAATTGAACTAATTTGCAAGCTGTATTATGCATTGTATTTAAATGACGTCTTTAAGGTGTGTGTATGTATATGTAGAAATATATTTAGTATATTAAGTAAAGAAACAAAGAGTGAAAAATTTAAGGGGGTCTGAATACTTTCCGTACCCACTGTATATATATATATAGATGAATAAAATAGTTGCTTTGTTTTTTATACATTCATATTTCTTTTAAGATGTCAGCAAGAGATATCTTAAAGATATATATATATATATATATAAGTTGTTGTCTCTAAAGTTGTTTAATAAAGTATATCTTTATAAAATATTAAAGTAATAATATTCATATAAGTATTTTAAAAGATAACGGAAAACATGTTGGGTTTTTGAATACAATTGAATGAGGAAAGATTAAGTGGAAAAAAAATAATAAATAATACAATTATCAAAACAGTTAGTTACAAAGAAAAATAACAAAGTATAACAAAAAAGTTGATAACCATACATGGGGATTATTACCTTAACCAGTTAGCCCAGGGGACACCAAACTCGGTCCTGGAGGGCCGGTGTCCTGCAGAGTTTAGCTCCAACTTGCCTCAACACACCAGCCTTCAAGTTTCTAGTATGCCTAGTAAGAGCTTGATTAGCTGGTTCAGGTGTGTTTAATCAGGGTTGGAGCTAAACTCTGTAGGACACCGGCCCTCCAGGACCGAGTTTGGTGTCCCTTGAGTTATCCATTCACTGTTACACATTACTGGTGACTATTTTACAGACTTTGTTTTCCAAGAAATCATTCACTTTCTAAATTGACTGTGAAAAAAAACAAGCTTGACATGTTGTGAATAAGGTTGTGTTTTCAAAGTAAAACATGAGGCCATGCATTTGATTCAGAGAAAAACCACAGGATATAGTCCTTTTTCCCCATTAAACAATTTGAAATAGGTTGAAAGGTTGTGCGATGTGTAAATTTAGCTCAATGCCACATCTTCCATACATAAATTATAGACCCGCAACAAGTACAGAAATAAAATGACAAAAATGACTTTCACATTATCAATGTTTTAGTCTGTATATAAAAGCCTGATTTTTCATCGTGCTGCAGTTTTTCCTTTCATTTGTGTCGTATCTCTTTGCTCAGTTGTTAACTGGTTTGTCTGTGTTCACGTTGCCAGGTCCAGCAGTAGTCTGCAGCAGACGCCAGTCCTCAGAGCGCCGCGCACCATGTCTACATTCCTGATTGCACATGAAATCTCATCTTAGCTTGAATCCACACCCTTGTACTGTCCGCTCAACCCTGGGGGCTGTGGATATTTGAGCTGTTGTTGTTTTTTATTATTTTCCTAATTAATATTGTTTACATAATATTGTTGATGATGGTTTTTGGGACCTCAATAAAAATGTTCAATAAAAAGGTTTCTGTTCCTTTTATTCATGTTGTAGTTATTGTGTATTATTATTATTATAGATGAGTTTTTTTTTCTTCATCAGAACAGATTCTGAGAAATGTAGCACTGGTGAGCAAGTGATGTAATGCTACATTTCTGTTCCGATGAAGAAACCATAAATGGCATATGAGAGTTGAAGTATTTATTAAATGACTAGTTTCAACAGTTTGACGGACTCAGTATATCTGCATTCAATGTAAAGAACACACTGACACAAATTTCAAGAGATTCATTTCTATGTATTCAAATACACTTCACCATCTTAGACTTACAATATCAACGTGCCTCAGTAATCCTGAATCTTCTAATGAGCTTATAATTCATAGTTACATAAAATGTGAGACCTGCAGCTATTTTGATGATTCTGAAAACCGTCTCCTCTTTCTCAAAAAAGCATTTGTCTAATAAATGGTTTAAACTTGCGCCATTTAATCTTCCGCATCCCCATCCACCTTGACCCGAACTGACATCAGTCAAAATCCATTTACCTCCAAAACCCCTCAAGCTGATTTCTGAAAACATCGACACAATCTAATCTCATTGTCACTCCTCTGGACCGGTGGTCTCGCCCTCATCATCCTCGTCCTCTCCTCCAGAGATGTTCTGATTCATGCGGGACAGCAGCAGAGGAAGATTTATTCGATTGGTGTTTTCCTCTTCATCATCATCATCATCATCATCATCTTTAGGAGGGTAGAAGCGTCGAGCCTTTGCCACAAAATCCTCAGCAGCATCCAGATAAATTAGCCGGTCCTGAGCGCAATGTAAATATAGAGGTCAAAGTGAGCAAGGGGAAGTGTGTCTATCTCAAGCATTTTCATTTGAGACGTTCACACACACACATATATATATATATATATATATATATATAATTTCTCATTTTATTTTGAATATTTCATTTGAACATTTTTAATAGAATTTTTTTTTTTAAATGTATATTTTTCATTTTTATTTCAAATTTAGTTGTTTTAACTTTTTGTAAACTTTTAATATACACAATTAATTTTGTGCATGTAAATTAGTATGGCTTAAGTTCCTTTTTAACTTAAAATGCTCCTTAAAAGATTAATAATTTGTCAGAATACCCTCAGACAATTACTAGCGATATAATTTTAACTGCCAGTGGCCACTGAAATATGCTATATGCTTGGAAAACGTAAAATAAACATTATTAGTTCATGACTTTTTTGTTGTGTTTTCTGAAAGTTGTGCATTGGTCGGTTTTTTTTTATTTTATATATATATATATACATTTACAATTTTTTTAAAAATATTAAACATTTATTTTAAATATGATATTTGTATGTATTTGTATTATATTTACATTTGATATAAATAAAATGTATTTAATAAGAATAATAGTAATATTTAAATTTATTTTTATATTAGATTATTTTCAATATTTTAGAATATCAAAATTACATTCATCTTCATTTATGCCTGAAGCACCTCACTTAAAATAGAAATGACCTTCATTGATGGAGAAGTGCACATTAAATGCAGCAATATTTACATTCTTTATATTTAGTGCTCTAGATTGTTTTTGATTGTTCATGCTTGTAGTTTGAGTAAGATGCTCACCAGGATGAAGAGGTATCTCTCGGGTGGAGGCTCTCTGCTGTTGAATAAGGATGTCTCGGTGTGGAGGGTCTGCAGAAGGTTGCGGGCGACCGCTGCGTTTCTCATGCGGTCATTTGATGCGCTGGTAGACACGGTCAGCAGAGACTCGGCTTCAGCCATGAACCCTGAGAGAAGAAACCGAGCATCTCAATGACAGACTGTCCCTGAATCACTGGAACATCATCTCTCATATAATCTCTTACCCAGATTCTCTAAAATCATCTTCCATTTATCTCGCACCTCTCTTCTCATGTCTCTCATGGCCTCGATGTCGATGCTCAAACGCCGGTAGCCCTGCGGGACAGAAGACATGACAGGCCTCAACTAAAGCATCAGGACACCTACAAATAGCTTTTGTTGTATTTAGCTCTGATAGAAGAAAGGATTTTAATATTGAACAGATTACACCTCACCTTGAAGTTTCAGAGACAGAAATATGAGCTAAAAATGGCAAAATGTGACAAATAATGAGATTTATTTATTTTCTTTCTTTTATTTTCTTTTGGTAAATTACAGGCCTCTCTCATATTTTTAAGTGGGAGAACTTGCACAATTGGTGGCTGACTAAATACTTTTTTGCCCCACTGTATATATATATGTATGTATGTAGGCTATGTAACGACGAAGTTTTAGTGCCTCATTAAAAAATAAAAATCTAAGATTACAAGATTAAAGTCGTATTATTTTGAGAAAAAAAGGTAAAAATTACGAATAAACTCAAAATATTTTGAGAATAAAATCCAAATTACGAGAATAAACTCAAAATATTTTGAGAATAAAATCCAAATTACGAGAATAAACTCAAAATATTTTGAGAATAAAATCCAAATTACGAGAATAAACTCAAAATATTTTGAGAATAAAGTTCAAATTACGAGAATAAACTCAAAATATTTTGAGAATAAAGTCCAAATTACGAGAATAAACTCAAAATATTTTGAGAATAAAGTCCAAAT